GTGAATTATGGTAGCAATAGCATGTTTAATATGTGTGAATTATGGTAGCAATAGCATGTTTAATATGTGTGAACTACGGTAGCAATAGCTTGTTTAATATGTGTGAACTACGGTAGCAATAGCTTGTTTAATATATGTGAACTACGGTAGCAATAGCATGTTTAATATGTGTGAATTATGGTAGCAATAGCATGTTTAATATGTGTGAACTACGGTAGCAATAGCATGTTTAATATGTGTGAACTACGGTAGCAATAGCTTGTTTAATATGTGTGAATTATGGTAGCAATAGCATGTTTAATATGTGTGAACTACGGTAGCAATAGCATGTTTAATATGTGTGAATTATGGTAACAATAGCTTGTTTAATATGTGTGAATTATGGTAGCAATAGCATGTTTAATATGTGTGAATTACGGTAGCAATAGCTTGTTTAATATGTGTGAATTATGGTAGCAATAGCATGTTTAATATGTGTGAATTACGGTAGCAATAGCATGTTTAATTATGTGTGCTTGTTAATTGTGGAATTATGGTAGCAATAGCTTGTTTAATATGTGTGAATTATGGTAGCAATAGCTTGTTTAATATGTGTGAATTATGGTAGCAATAGCTTGTTTAATATGTGTGAATTATGGTAGCAATAGCATGTTTAATATGTGTGAATTATGGTAGCAATAGCATGTTTAATATGTGTGAATTACGGTAGCAATAGCATGTTTAATATGTGTGAATTATGGTAGCAATAGCATGTTTAATATGTGTGAATTATGGTAACAATAGCTTGTTTAATATGTGTGAACTACGGTAGCAATAGCTTGTTTAATATGTGAATTATGTAGCAAATGTTTAATATGGTAGCAATAGCATGTTTAATATGTGTGAATTACGGTAGCAATAGCATGTTTAATATGTGTGAATTATGGTAGCAATAGCTTGTTTAATATGTGTGAATTATGGTAGCAATAGCTTGTTTAATATGTGTGAATTATGGTAACAATAGCTTGTTTAATATGTGTGAATTACGGTAGCAATAGCTTGTTTAATATGTGTGAATTATGGTAACAATAGCTTGTTTAATATGTGTGAATTACGGTAGCAATAGCATGTTTAATATGTGTGAATTATGGTAGCAATAGCATGTTTAATATGTGTGAAAGATTCTGTGATCAAGCAATGAATGTACGCTGTGTGAAGTGACCAGTGTATCAGTTATCACATTAATAAAGTCAGTTTAGGTACAAGTTACAGACATGTCGTTGTTGTTGCTGTTTTTTCTTTTCAACTTCTAAAGTGGTTTATACTTTATGTTAGTTTGTTTTTTTATGTGTACATTATATGTTATTTAAATAAATAGCTTAACTGGAGATGGGAGAAACATTTTAAAAGGAAGAGGAAAGGAAAACCGAAAAACAAGACACAGTACTAGTAGCAACAGCAACAATAGTAGTAACACTAGCAGCAGCAATAGTTGTAGTGGTGTTGGTGGTGACAGTAGTAGTCGCAGTCACAGCAGCAGCAGCAGCAGCAGTAGTAGTAGTAGGAGTAGTAGTAGTAGTAGTTGTAGTAGTTGTTGTTGTTGTATGTGTAGTAGTAGAAGAAGAATACGAAGGAGGGAGAGGAGGACAAGAGGAAAAAGTGTGTTGTCATCGCAGTAAAGTGTTTTTTTTTTTTTGTGTGGCCAAAACATGTTTAGTTTTGTTCCGCTTCTTCCGTTATATTTTTGTTTTTAAATCGCAGCTCACTTCTTCTTCTTTCTTTTTTTCCTTTTTTTTTTTTTTTTTTTTTTTTTTTTTTGTTAAATACAGCTTCGGGTGTCGAGAGGAAAAAATAGTTCAGGTTTGTTCTCTTCTAGTCACCTAGTCCTTAGGTCGTTCTGTTGTCATTTCTCTCATGTTATCTTTCAATCTGGTTCTTTGCCTAATGCTCTATTTTTATCCTCTCGCTTCATGTATGCAATGTAACGCCAATTGTAGCTGGCGAAGCACCGTTCGGGTGCCACACTTGAGGGCACAGGCACCCCTACTGTTTAACTGTGGTTTTGAATTTTACACTCACCCGTATAAAATTTGCAAGGGTTAAGTGCTAGAGAGGATCGACTTAATTGCTCTGGGCTTTTCCCATATACTCCATCTCTCTCCACAAAATGACTCCTCCTGACAAAAATGAAACACGAATCAAGAACTCCATAGCTCCAGATACGATCCACGTGGATCTCGTAAAAACTGTATTCTTGAACCGAATGATGCGTCATTAAAACGAACCCGTTACCTTCACATCGCAGTGCAAACGGTTTTACCACTTCTCACGGAAACACCCTTTTGATGGGGGGGGGGGGGGGGGGGGGGTTGTTTACGTAATGTCATTATTTATATGTGGGCGGCTGCCTACACAATTACCAAAACAGTGTTCGGTTAGTGCTCAAATTGGTTTGGGTCCCCATATCCTCCCCCTCCCCGACAATTGCCTAGCGTGGCAATGCTTCAAGACGGCCCTGGTTAATGAGTTTACCTGCTAGGAGAAGTAATAGGCGTGTTAATGAGTTTATCTGCTGGGAGAAGTCAGAGGCGTCTTAATGAGTCTATCTGCTGGCAAAAGTCAGAGGCGAGTTAAGTAAAGAAGTAAAGGTGTGACTCTAACGATTAGTAGACAGCCGACTGTTGCTTTAGACCACGGGGTTGTGCCGCTAGTAGCATAGGCAATCCTGCACACCACATGCCTATTCAAAAGTTTACCATACAAGTGATCCTCTGGAAGGCGACCGTCCTCCGTGAGGGAGACATGTACCAACTAACGAAGGACTGTAAAGAAGAAAACGAAATACAGCCCTCCTCATTTTTAACGTTCACCGGGCCAGGTAAAAATACGGATTCCCGCAATGGCACATCCAACATTTACGAACGCAGAAAGTTTAGGAGAGCATTTGCCATACAGTTGTGTACAGTTTAAGTGTAGGAGTTGATACTGTCAGCGTTTCGTAAAAAAATTATTTGTATTTTGCAAATAAAGCAACACCAAAGGTAAGAGCAGAGTTTAAGTATGTTCTGTTATTGTTGTCAAATCCTTCCTAGTCCTAGTCCTACCTCAGCTGATCCTGTGTCTACAAATTAGTAAATTATTAATGATGATGAATGATGGCACCCAGTTTCCGAGGACCGTTAAATTTGAATTACAGGGGCGCTGATGCTTTAGCAGATCTGTTACCTCAGCATTGACTGTTCTCATTGTATAAGAATTGTTTCTAATTGTATGTGTAAAGTTCTGCTTGCGTCGTATGTTCATCAAACGAAATTAGTGTGTTGATGTAATCTGAGCCAGTCGGGCACTGCACTCTTAACGGTCCCAAATTACTTACTGCCCAAAACATCCCTTGAGCCTCGATCAAGGGGTTATAAAAAATATGGAACAACAGCAACACAGTTTTCACTTCTGCCGTTAAGCACCGTGAAATAATAGTTGAGGCCATCATCATCAGTTTCCACTTCTGTGCACAATGTTTAAAGTTAAAGTTAAGCGTCGTTGGTAGAAATAGTTTTCGATCCACTGAAGCGCCGTGGGGCTTCTGCGTAATGTTTAAAGTTAAGCACCGTGGAATAATAATTAAGGCCATCATCACCAGTTTCCACTTCTGTGCAATGTTTAAAGTTAAGCGTCGTCGGGAGAAATAGTTTTCGATCCACTGAAGCGCCTTGGGGTAAGCAGCGTGGGGATAATTAGTTTTTGACTTGAGGCCCTAAATGGGATTTTTTGTTTGTGAATAATAAGGGCCCGTTTTTCGGAAGAGTGCCGAGTATGCGTTCTCTGGGGCCCGGGTTGTATTATTAATTATTATATCATATGTTATGTTATTAATATTATCATTATTATTATTAATTTTTTTTTAAAGCAGAAAAAAACGGTCACTAGTGATTCTTCTGTCTCAACTGTCAACAGTCTGCATATAAAATAAGCTAATCTGTAACACGGATCAAGTCTGTAACAAGACTAAGAATAGCCAGCAGCCAGTGAACACTGTTTATTAAGAAGATGTAAATAATATGTAATTAAATACTATGATTAATTACCATTACTTATCTGGAAGCTGCTGTTTGATGCATCAATTACCACCTTCTCAGAGAACGATTTTTTAATGTTTGCTATTTGCTTGTGCACATGTATGCTGCAGTTTGACTAACAATCGGCAAAAAGAAGTAAATATTGAAGGAGTAATAATAGTAATATTGTGCAGGGTGTTAATAATTATAATAGACCGTATCATATCAGCAGTCTGCGTTGATGTTATAGAGCTTCAGGCAGTTAAAGATTTACATGTCTAGGATCCACAGCAAATTACAATCGCTAGACCAAGACATCAACATTAGGATAGGTAAGGTTGCAATAACAATGAACAGATTAACTAAAAGAGTTTGGGAAAACAGAAAGCTCACGATTAAAACAAAAACTTTTGTCTATCAGGCTTGTGTTCTTAACACTCTTCTTTATGGCAACAAAACCTGGTCAACTTATTTACACCAGGAGAAGCGGCTAAATTAAAATAGCTTTCACATACAATATCTAAGTAGAATGCCTGGCATTAAGTGGCAAAACAAGATCACAAACACTGAGGTGTTTGAAAGAGCAGGTATAACAACAGTTGTTTCAGTGCTGTCTGTGAAGGCTCAGCTGGCTGGGTCACATATGGAGAATGGTAAAGTCCCTAAGGACATCCTCTGTGGTGAATTAGGGATGGGTAGAAGATGTTGAGGCTGCCTCTACTATGATAAGGATATTTGCGAGAGACATGAGATAGTTATTGGGTTAGATTCATGGGAACAAAAAGCCGTTGACTGTATTATATGGGAGGATATACTAATATCTTTCCAGCTTGCTAGGCCAGTCACTGTCACATGTGAAATGTGTTATTTGTTGTTATGTCAGTATTTAACACTGTAACATTTTGTTGTATGGTATCCTTGTACAAATAATATTGTGTTTACATTTCTATAGACAGCTAAATCAACATGACTGAGCTGGTGAAGAAGAAGGTGGAGCTAAAGAAAAAGATCCGCTCCTTGTTGCTGTCAGCGCCACTAGGGTTGACTCTTGAGGAACTTATCAAGGATTACCATTCATTTATTGGTGAGAGGCTGCCCACGAGGGAGTTGGGCTACTCCAGCGTGGAGGAGTTGTTGCAGGATATTCCAGATGCTGTTCAGGTACATAATTAAAATTAATTTATTCTTTCTCCTGTGGGTTCTGAGTTCCCATTAGGAGTGGAGGAGTGGGAGGGTGTAGTTAAAGTACACCTCTCCCCCACACACAAGCATGCCACAAAGGACAACTAATTAAGGGTTTGCTGACAAGAGATGTATTTGGCAGAAAGGCACAGATATCACTGCCTAGCTATAAACCACAACAAAACATGTCCACTACCTTTGTAAGGGCAAAAGCACAGGAAGAATAATAGGATTCTCGCAGTCTTTCTTTTGTTAGTTAAGATAAGAAAGTATAGTATAACTTCATTAACACACACTTTCTTTAGAAAAACACTTGGTCAACATGAACAGAATGTTGGTCCCAGCAGGGGTTAATCTCAGCTCCCAGTAATCACACATGTTTATAGCACAGACTCTTGATTTTCCAATTTCCTTGTAATTCTTGTTAACAAAGTTTTACTTAGTGAAGAGCAAATACAGAGCTATTCCTTATGAGGAGAAGTGTATTGTGGGTAACCAGCTGATTGGTGGTAAATTCTGTGTAAACTGCAGGGACTGGATGTTATAGAAGAATGATGGCATCATCCACAGATACAAAAGAGCTGAATGATTATGTAGGGAAGGAATCATCAGTTCTGGTTATGCCTGGTGGCACATGAGGCTTCAGAGAGGACTTTCCATGCTTCTCTGTCCTGTGCAATCTTCAATGCAGTTTTCCATGTCAAAGATACCGCACTCAGGTCACTTTCCATCGTTCGTCTCCATGTTGTTTTTGGGCGACCCTGTTTTCTCTTTCCCGCTGGTGTCCATGTGAGAGCTGTTTTGGCAGGTATATCAGGATTCATTCTCATAACGTGGCCAGGCCATTTCCATCTTCTCTTGGTAATCATACTGTCTAAAGTTTCTTGGTTTGTGACTTGAAGTAGTTTAGTGTTTGAAATTGTATCTGGCCAGAAAACTTTGATAATTCTACGTAGACATGTGTGGTGGACAGCTTGTGTACATCCTTTTTGGTCATTCTCCAGCATTCTGCTCCATAAAGAAGAACTGGCAAAATGATGCTCTTGTAGAGTCGGAGTTTTGTTCCTCTGCAGTAATTGTTGGATTTCCAGATTTGCCTCATCCTTCCAAAAGCAGCTCTAGCTTTGTTCAGACGTGCCTGTCTGATCTCTTCGGTCCCTCCCGGCAGGGACACCACACTGCCAAAATATGTGAAATGTTCTACATTTTCAAGAGTTTGGTTATTTATGGTCACTGGTTGTAGGGAAGGAATCAGATCATTCTCATTGCTCAGAGAACCATTCAGGTCCTATGTGAGCAAGTGAGCTGTGAGGAAGTACAAATAGTTCATTGTGATCTGAGGAGAATGGTGCTGCATTCAGTGACTAAAGTATCTGGCTGACGATCAGCACTCAAGAGAAAGGCAAGATGGATATACAATTAGACTGGCACTGGTATTATTGGAATTGGACCTCTGCGCTTGCTGCTGAAGATGGGGATAGAGAACTTTTGGGAATCTCCTGAGTACTGTGATATTGATTCTTGATTTAACATTCATCAGGAGAAAAAATTGGAGAGTCCTGATTACCAATATCAGATTCAAACCAGAAATTTTAATAAGTTGTCTTATGAAATCATCACAGGAGCTATGTGTAAATGATACCTGCCATAAATGTTAATTGTAGCAACACAGTTTGGGGAAAGATGGAGGATCTCTTTGTATGCCCAGCGTGTTATAATGTGGTCTCGCTGATACCAGGTTGTAGCCCAGGGTCATGGCTTTGTCATCTCACTGATACCAGGTTGTAGCCCAGTGTCGTGATTTTGTCGTCTCACTGATACCAGGTTGTAGCCAAGTGTCATGGTTTTGTCGTCTCACTGATACCAGGTTGTAGTCCAGTGTCATGGTTTTGTCGTCTCACTGATACCAGGTTGTAGCCAAGTGTCGTGGTTTTGTCGTCCCACTGATACCAGGTTGTAGCCCAGAGTCAAGGATCTGTCGTCTTACTGATACCAGGTTATAGTCCAGTGTCTTGGTTTTGTCGTCTTACTGATACCAGGTTATAGTCCAGTGTCTTGGTTTTGTCGTCTTACTGATACCAGGTTATAGTCCAGTGTCTTGGTTTTGTCGTCTTACTGATACCAGGTTATAGTCCAGTGTCTTGGTTTTGTCGTCTTACTGATACCAGGTTATAGTCCAGTGTCTTGGTTTTGTCGTCTTACTGATACCAGGTTATAGTCCAGTGTCATGGTTTTGTCGTCTCACTGATACCAGGTTGTAGTCCAGTGTCATGGTGTTGTCGTCTTACTGATACCAGGTTGTAGTCCAGTGTCATGGTGTTGTCGTCTTACTGATACCAGGTTGTAGTCCAGTGTCATGGTTTTGTCGTCTCACTGATACCAGGTTATAGTCCAGTGTCATGGTTTTGTCGTCTTACTGATACCAGGTTATAGTCCAGTGTCATGGTTTTGTCGTCTCACTGATACCAGGTTATAGTCCAGTGTCATGGTTTTATCGTCTCACTGATACCAGGTTATAGTCCAGTGTCATGGTTTTGTCGTCTTACTGATACCAGGTTGTAGCCTAGTGTCATGGTTTTGTGGTCTCACAGATACATGGTTGTAGCCCAGTGTCGTGGTTTTGTTGTCTCGCTGATACCAGGTTGTAGTCCAGGGTTATGGTTTTGTGGTCTCGCGGATACAAGTTTGTAGCCCAGCCAAGTGTCGTGGTTTTGTCAAAACTACTGACAGCACATTACGAAGTCTAACAAAGGAACTTGCTATGTTTAAAACAAAAAATGGCAGAAACTCACCTGCAGTGGTTTCCATCTCACTGTGACATCAAATGCAGTGAAAGTACAGATGCTTTAACCAAGGAAGGCAGCAGCAAACTACATATCTGCCAGCCATTATCTTTTCCAAAAGTCAAAACTCTTATTAAGAGAAAATCAGAAATAGACTGGAAAATCAACAGATTCTAACCAAGAAAATTTTTTTCTCAAACACTTGAACAGAACAGACCAAGTCACAGTTTTTTGTGTACATACTGGACACTGCAGACTCAACAAACACTCATATAAATTATGTATGAGCCAAACAGCTCTCTGCCAGTGTCTTCGTGCTGAACAAACTCCAGAATATGTCCTGCAAGACTGTCCTCTCTTGGCGGAGCTGCAGAGCAACATATGGCAACACCCAGTAGAACTGACAACTAAGCTTTGGGGAAACCTAAGAGACCTTGAGATGACATCCCAGTTTATGACTCACAGTGGATTATGCGCATTACATGACCAAATATCGCTGAAGAAGAAGATAATTCAATGAAATAAATTTATTGATTCAGTAAATTAACCGATTCAACAAATTAATAAATAATGATGTAATTTTGTAGATGATTTAATGCCTTATAATCTACAGATCAGTATCACAAAATGTATTCATTGTTGTAATCTACAGATGACAAGAAATAATGATATACTGATCCTCAAAGCCGTCTCTGATGCTTCAACGCAGAACATTGAGAAACTTGTATCCAAGCAAAAGCTCGATAATAAAAAGAGATGGGGTGTTTTGTCCCTGGTGAGAGACAGAAACAGGACTTCCAGAGGCAGAGGAAGACATGTCCCAAATTCGTATGGAAGCCAAGGCGACTATTTTCACCTGCAAGAAGGCTCTCCTTATTTTCCTCACCATTCTCGAAGGTCTCCAGTGAGGCATGCTAGACATCGAAATATGCCGGTGGTGCCAGCGTATGTTCGGGGACAAATTAACGAGCTTGTTAAGAAGCACCCCTGCGGAATCCCGCTGACACACATCTCCAACATATTCTACAAGCATTATGGTCTTCATCTTGATCACCAGAGCTTGGGATTTTCCAGCGAGTATGATTTATTTGCTAGTCTCGCAGATATTGTCTCCATGAGAAAGTTTTCATTTGGAGAAGTTCGTCTTGTGTCTGTGGAGTCTGCTTTGGCTTTAGACGGATGCCATAACCGCCAGGGACAACTGCATATCGGTGACAGCAAAAAGACAGAAGTTTGCCAAAAAAGCACACCTGGCAAACAACGAGAGCAGGCGGAAATTAGTCAGAAAGAATCCACTGACACACAACCATTATCAGCAGGAATTTGTCAGAAAGAGACATTTGACAAGTGTCCATCATCAGAGGGAATTAATCAGAAAGATACATTGGACACGCAGCCATCGTTTGCAGAAATGTGTCCAAAAGATAAGCCTGACTCTCGGCCAGGTACTCAGTCTCTTCAAACAGGTATGATGTTATGTAAAGATAAAGTCTCATGTAAAAGTAGTTCCGTGGTAGATAACAGTTGTTAAAAGTTGAGTTGTTAACAGTTTGAGTTGTTTAAAGTTATTACACTGCGCTACAAATTTTATTTGAAATGCTTTTCGGCTGTGCCCACCGTGTTTTGTGTTGTGAACTGCAGATTCAGAAAATGGCAAGTGGCCTACCAGAATACTGGCAGTGCCTTATGTTATTAATTGCATGGGCAACTACTGATCTGTTGTAACTCCTGCATCTATCAACAGTATACTTCATTTCTAATGCTGGACTGTGAGTATGCTATTAGCTTTATTGAGACTGCCAGTTTTTTTTTTTTTTTTTTTTACAAAAGAAAGCCATAGGCTTTCAATATGGTTTTCATTGGCACAGGAATGGAGCAACTACCAAGTGACCCCTTTGCTAAGAAATTGGAACTGTGATTACCTGAAAGTTGTTAAAGCCTTCACATTTACTTTTTCATGGCAGAATAAGATAGCGTGGGGGATCAGCTCCTTTCCTTCTCAGATAATGTCTAGAATTGACTGATAACCAATGTGTGAGGCTGAATGTTCCGTCTGGACATTAAGTGATGTTTGTGGAGATTTGAACTATCAACAGCCAAAATGTTTAAAGGAAGTAATGACGTAGAGACATAACTATCAAAAGAGCTGATAGATTGAATGGTTCTGCTTTAGTTGCAGATGGCTGGCCTGTGGATCACACCAACATTATTCATATCCTTAGAGGGGTAGGACGATCCGAGGATTTTGGAAGCAGCATGTCAATATCACTACTAAGATTGCGAGAATTGGGAGTAAAGATGGCACAGTCAGACATGAGAGGCGCACTGGATGTACAAGAAGTCTTGTTAACCAGCATAGGACTGGCACTGTTGACTGAGAGATGCTGATGTATATGTTGAAGGGGGAATCTGAGCACCTGTGGATGTGTCTGGAGTGCTGTGAGGATAACCAAACTCATAAATGAGATTGGGTGAATACAAAAAAAAAAAATGATTTTAAAAAAGAGTAATTAATTATTTATACTTTTTGTCCTGATTTCTTACACTCACACATAGTTTTTACCCTGTAGCACAGATGTGAGAAATAAATGCAATGATAAATCAGTATGTTGCATATAGGATCAAACAGAATTCCTTACAAACCGGTGACACAATAGTCATTTAGTGCTAGATCCATATTTTGTAAAGACCATTCAGCACAATTGGGGGAGGGGGGAGGAAGGTGGCCAGCATCAACCAGCCAACCACCTTTTATTACTTTCATGGTCATCATCATGTATCAGGTCCTTTGCAGAACGTTGCTCTCACCACAGTCTGCCTGAAAAGAACTTGGTGTCTGGCCAGCTCTCCTGCATCATGCACTTTTATACCCAAGGGGTCATTTGTATCCTGTTTCCATCTTCATGCTGGTCAGTTCTTGCCTCTCCTTCCTGACCTTGTCTTCTGCTATTATTGTTTTCAGTCTGTCATGGCTGTCGATGTGGCCAAAATATGTCAGCTTCTAAGACAAGATGCTGTTTATTAGCCAATCTTCCTGGATGTTTAGAACTTTTAAAATGTCAGTATTTAATTTCTTCTTTGTCCATGGTGTTCTGAGAATCTTTCAATAGCATTTCAGATCTAAAGGCCCTATTTTCTCCCTTAAGGACTGTGAGACAGTCCACGTCTCACATCCTTATGTTGCTACAGGAAAAATTATTACTTTCAGATCAGCTATTTTTGTATTAATGAATGAATAAATAAATGAATCAAGAATTGATTTTGCGGTGCCTGGGATATTCCACCAAATGTTCTGTCCTCTTTCTCAATGGCAACAAAAAAAAAGCAGTTCCATATCTTTGATTATTGATTCTTATCTGCCATTCATTCATTCATGGTCCTGTTATACCATAATAAATCACATTCAGCTCAGTCTATTTCTCCTTTTCATTCTGCTCTGTGCAATCACTTCAGGATCATGGATGAAGTCCAGTCAAGCGCTTTTGTCTTCTTACTTGCCAACCTAATAGTTTTGGGTTTAAACGTTTGTGTAGATGGATCTTTAATGGAAAATGTGACATAGGTTTTCAGATTAATCCAGACTATTATGGGTAATGGAAAAATGTCCTGGGGAATAAAGGAAGGGGAAATAACAAGTTTTTAGGTATGAGTTTTCTGAGTATTCTAAAGAAACTAAATCTGTTTGTGCTAACAATCATTGTCTTCTGTGCTTGCCTTTAAAAGGGCAACAGGCAGCTTATGTTGGATTTACAGCTAGGTTACGATTTTTTAATGGCTGCTGGCCAACACATTCAGTTCAGTAGATCACAGTTTCCCACCTCATGGGTGGCAGTCCAATTTAGGGTCACAAAAGGTTTTCTCGGGTCGCCGGGAAGAGGTGAGCTAAAAGAAATTTTTAAAAAAAAAGGAAAAAACAAAACAACTAATCTTGTCATCGCATCCTCTGCAGAGATATATTTGCTGTATGCCTAGCCTTGTTTCTTGCAGAGGGCAACAGTTTTTCTTCACTTTTATTCTGAATTTTTTTTTTCGGTGTGTTTTTATTTACTTTTTTAAAAAGAATATTTTTAACGAATAGGGTTGCAAGTCATTTTGCCTCTACAAAATGGGGTCACTACTCGAAGAAGTTTGGGAGCCGCTGCAGTAGATCCTTAATTAGTTGCCTTTTATGACATGCATGTTAAAGGGCAGTGGGTCTGTTCCTTTCTTTCTTTCTTGTTTTCCCTAAATGGGTTACTAGAACCGACATGAGGAAACCATACTTCTGCTGATTGTGTCGTCTGCTTCTCTGATCCTAGAGTCTGGAGCTGACGACCCAGGTAAATCACAGAACGCACAGCCTGTGATTGATTTAGACATCGAGAGTAACATTCCGGAGACTGTACAAGATCACATCAGACAGGTAAGCTCCAATAACAAATGTAAACATTTGTGTGTCACACTTGTAACACACAAGATCACATCAGACAGGTAAGGCTTTTACCCCACTAACAACGTATATATATATGTTTGTGTCATTCTTGTAACATACAAGCTCACATCAGACAGGTAAGGCTTTTACCCCAATAGCAGACGTATATATATGTTTATGTCACATTTGTAACAAACAGGTGAATATGTGATATGACTGTCTAACACACATATATATAAGCATACAAGATAATGATGCCTGTGCTGCTATCTACATGTCACATGTACACATATGAAAGTAAACAAGGTCATGACACATGTGAAGGCTGCTGTCTCACTATCTTATGTAACATATATGTAAGCATACAAGATCACAGGAAGGTGAGGGTGTTATCTTGCATGTGATGTCACACAAAGTGACTTAGAGATTAGTTCACATGTTTGACATCCTCAGTATACCAGCATTTGATTTCCAAGGCAAGAGGTTTAGAAAAAGATCTTCCTCTTGACTTTTGGACAGTTTGTATGAGAGTCACACCATGGAAGAGATTAGGTTCTCACCAAGGAATATTCCCAAAGACAGCCCTGGATGCATGCATCAGACAGAAGCAGTTGAGTTGTGGGGATGGCAGAAACATGTCTTTTGTTTTAGAGGTAACACACCTGCGAACATACAAAATTACAGGAGGGTAAAGGTGTTATCTCGCATCTGAAATATCACATATGTTAACATTCAAGAGCTGAAATGTGGCTGAAATGATTCTTAGAAATCCATGAACCAAGATATTGAATATTGACATTCTAAAAGATCATCAAGGGATAGGGTGAGCTGACTGCTCCATTAGAGGATAAAAGGTAGAGGAAGAAAAAAATAAGATGTGAATATAAAATAAAACTGGCTCATAAACAACATCTTAATCTGAAACTGAAGTACTTTGGCTATATTAAAGGTCACACTGGTTTAGAAAGAACAGTATTGGAAGGTATGGGACTTAGGAAAAGTGGTCAGGGCCGAACAACATAAGACATGGGAGACATCCTGGGCAGCATAAGAGTTGCCTAGAGACTAGGATTTTTGTGATGTAACAGCTGTCTTAAAGACCTGCAACATGATGATGAAATATAGACAATCACAGTATCAGAGAGAACATGGTAGATACAAGATAGCATTTCATCAGAATATCATAATTTACATTACAGGTATAATTTGATTTTCTGCATTTTTTCTTCTGTAGATTATGTCTCAAAGGCCTAATGGTATTTATGCAAGTCGTTTGCCTTTTGAATATAAGGTATGCCTTTAGTCATCTTAATTTTCTTCTTCTTGGTTGCTAAATCTTCTTTCATTTTAATTAACAGAAATCAAATCACTTATCAAGAGAAATTGCAAGGAATTGTGGAGATAACAAACTAGCAGTAAACATCCACAAACTACCATCTCTGGTAACCGAATTCCGAGGTCTCTTTTTTCCAAGGTCAGAAGCCAGACTAATGTGCAAGACTGATACAACAATCTGCCTAGAATTCAAGCATGTCGCTAGATCATGGTTCAGCACCTCATATTCTCACTGGATGGGGTACAGTTGTGGTGAAAGCAGCATTCTGCAAATAATAGAAACAACTGCCACATGGCAGTGACTCTTATTCTTCAGCAAGACATCATTTGGAAGAGACATATTTTAATTCCAGTGTGTCTATAACTTTCAGTTTGTCTGCTTTCTAGCGCGCTATGATTTCTACTTATTTTGTTTTTGTTACAGTGAATGCTCATCAAAAGTAAAGTTTAGAAGAGAGGAGACCTGGCATGACAGTAACTTTTTGTCTCACGTAATGCCTGATTGGCTGTTTTCCTTGAACACCAATTTATGGTGTCACTTTTGTCTCTTATTTAAAATGGCCTGGTACTTCAGGATAGAAAAAAAAGAGACTCAAATATTTAACAAAGTTAATAACTTCTTATGAGGAGCAGCTGGCCAAATACTTAGATCGCTGGGCTCCCATGCAGGAGACCCGGGTTTGAATCCTCGGTAAGTCTGGGGATTTTTTTATGTCGGGGGGGCAAAATAAAAACCTCACCTGCACAGTTGTCGCGATAGCACTAGCCATGCGACCTTAAATCCTCAGGCTGAAAGACTTCTCTGCCTACACTGCAAAAGTTGTATATAGAGGCAGTAAATGGCAGTAATGTCTTCTAGTATTTGATGTAAAATAACATAACACTTAAGCCTATTGCCCAGAGAAGCCACAAAACCGACCTTTAAGTTGGGTCCAGTTCTCTGTAAATGCATTTTTCCGACTCGTCTAAAGGGTCGTGTTTTCGTGATGCATTGATAATGTTTTTGGCTCCGCTCACTCCTGCCCAAACGCTTAAGAGGTCGGGATATGAATATAGTAACTCAGAATTGCATTTTATGGGTTTTTCTTGTGGACCAAATAGTTGAAGCCTCATTGATAGGGGTCATGGCATCACTCACCTGATACTCATATTTTTTAGGCACGAAGGAATGTACAGTGTATTCCATTTAAGGCTTTTGTGTTAATGTTTATTGATTACTCCCTTTCTATATATTTGTATATGGAGTGATTATTAAATGTAGATTAATAACTTTTTGAAACGTTGATTAGGGACCTGTGTAAAATACTTTTCTTAAGGATTTTTGGGGAATTTCCACGGGGTCAAAATCTACTTGTTTAACCCTTACCAGCGCAACATGGTTAATAACTAAGCTGTGGCCTCGTTATGTCAGTAGACTTGGCTGTCACTTGTCTCACAAGGCCAATCTGGATGGCAGATTGTTCTCAAAGATGGGCATCTGCCTGCAGGGGTTGCACAGGAAGAGATAGTCAGGCTAGAATGAACCCTGTGGCAACCCCAACCGCTGGTGTCACTGCTGTCTGTGTCCACTGCTTAGAAACTTTCCAGGCTTGAACTGGACTCATCATCCATCTTCCTACTCATTGACTTGTTTGGGGGAGGGGGGTGAACTGTTGTTGAATGGTGGAAGAACGACATGCTCGCCTGTCATGACAGTTTCCCAGGTTTGATCCCCAGCAGTGGTGGAATGTTTGTTTATCAGCGCAGCTCTGAGGTTGAACCAGCTTCATAATGGCCACCAGATAATTGCTCGGGGTGGAAAGTTAGTGAGAAATAGAGTTGACCCATCACATCTAAACAGTGGTAGCCTCGCAAATGTAAAAGCCTAACACATCGCACAGCATTATTTTCTGCACACATATATTTTTGCAGGTGTGTTGGGAATGAACTGGCAGACAGATTGGCTGGTGTTGCACTTCTGGGGAGGTGGGGGGGGATGACTTAATAAATGACAAGCTAGATGTCGTTAAATAACAAAGTTATGATGGTGTTGCCGTAAACATTTGTATTTGAAAACTATCAGAGCATGTTCAAGAAAGACCTGCCTTACAAAACGTATGGATACAACAGCGTTATTGAGTTTGCTGCAGATTTGACCCACATTGTGCTGATCGAGAGGCCTCATCCACAGGGCGACTGGCATCTGTTGCCTGCTAGTTGTGAGCAGACTACAGGTAAGTGACACGATCATGTTTGTGTCCATCTGTCACACCTTTGTCCTGTACACTACAGGTAAGTGACACACTCATGTTTGTGTCCATCAGTCACACCTTTGTCCTGTACACTACAGGTAAGTGACAAAATCATGTTTGTGTCCATCAGTCACACCTTTGTCCTGTACACTACAGGTAAGTGACAAAATCATGTTTGTGTCCATCTGTCACACCTTTATCCTCTACACTACAGATATGACAAATTAAACAGGTTATTCTGTCTTTGGGTTCTGGAAGCACATTGAGGTGAGGGGGGTAGACCCACTGCTCCCTAACAAGCATGTCATAAAAGGCAACTGATTAGGGGTTTTGGGCACTGTCATGGTGTAATGGCTGGACCCTTGCCTGCAGATTCAAAGTTCATCATTTCAGGGCCTGACGAACCAGTTTTTTTTTAAATATGACCTTGGCTCGCGGGTGGACCTGACCTTAAATGGGTACCAGGTAAAGTCATGACAAGTAAAGGAGGTTAGCCGGATGTTGACCGCATCAGCAACCCAGTACTTAATAAGTCTGTAAGAAAGATATAGGTCTAACCCTATATGCCCAATATGCTTAAAAGTGTGGAAAAGGGGTCCTTTATTTTTTAAATTAGGGGTTTTAAGAGGAGTGTCTGACAGAAACTTTGACAAGTTTTATTGTCATTTGTTTGCTTATGTCATCTAGAACATGCAGCTGTGAGCAAATCCAAGCAGCAAGATGAAGAGAATGAGGAAGTAGAACTGAAGATAGATCAGTCGACACAGGAGACCATTTCTCAAGTACTCAGGATGCAGACGGAGGGAATTCTTCTAGAAAGATTTGAAAGCGAGTACAAGGTACTACCTGTTCATTTTGTATACACATTTCCAGAGACTCGGTTTGATTTTCTAGTTGCCTGTTTATTGCCCATGTTTCTGCACCATACAGCACAGTTAAGGTTTACATCACATTTGATGATTCTCATTTTTAATGTGTTGTTTTCTTTAGTAACCTGCTGACCTAATTTGTTGCAGCTGATGACAGGTCATACCTTAGATTAGTAACCTGCTGACCTAATTTGTTGCAGCTGATGACAGGTCATACCTTAGATTAGTAACCTGCTGACCTAATTTGTTGCAGCTGATGACAGGTCATGCCTTAGACTACAGCAGACATGGCGCTAGAAGCCTCAGGCAATTCCTTCAGGCTGTTCCAGATGTCTGTATCTCCTCAAATACATTAGGTACAGTGTTTGTTTACTGGTTCATTGTTATGTTAAGTATCAAGTACATCATTGAGTATGCTGAGGGTGATAGAGATAGACTGGGTCCAAAGTACATCATTGAGTATGCTGAGGGTGATAGAGATAGACTAGGTCCAAGTACATCATTGAGTATGCTGAGGGTGATAGAGATAGACTAGGTCCAAGTACATCATTGAGTATGCTGAGGATGATAGAGATAGACTGGGTCCAAAGTCAGTGGTAAGAGTCTTTTAGGCAGTCTCTGTTTATTGGGAGAACCAAGTGAGGACTGAATCTGAGACTGACCAGACTTCAGGTTCAGCAAGTTAAATGCAGTTGGGGGGGGGGGGGGGTCAGACAAGAACACAATGCAGAAAGCCAAAGAAGAGGAAGAATAAATCAACATATAATGGATGTCGGCAGACGCTACATGATGCTGGAGTTATTGAAGAGGGATCCTAGCATTTATCGGCTGAATGGTTCGATGTACCCTGGGGATGATCTGTATAACAGACTGACTGTGTTGGGTACAGAAGCTTCTTTTTGTCTGTTGTTTCTATACTTGAGCATTTATGTTGAGGTTGTGCTAAGTGCATCGTGGTTCTGTTTATTTGTTGTGTTTCTGCACTAGATCACTTATAGTGAAGTTATGTTGGGTAGAGAATGTTTGTTTGTTGTGTTTCTGCACTAGATCACTTATAGTGAAGTTATGTTGGGTAGAGAATGTTTGTTTGTTGTGTTTCTGCACTAGATCACTTATAGTGAAGTTATGTTGGGTAAAGAATGTTTGTTTGTTGTGTTTCTGCACTAGATCACTTATAGTGAAGTTATGTTGGGTAGAGAATGTTTATTTGTTGTGTTTCTGCACTAGATCACTTATAGTGAAGTTAGAGTGAAGTTTTGTTTGTTGGGTCATTTATAGTGAAGAATGTTTATGTTTATTTGTTGTGTTTCTGAACTAGATCACTTATAGTGAAGTTATGTTGGGTAAAGAATGTTTATTTGTTGTGTTTCTGCACTAGATCACTTATAGTGAAGTTGTGTTGGGTAGAGAATGTTTGTTTGTTGTGTTTCTGCACTAGATCACTTATAGTGAAGTTATGTTGGGTAAAGAATGTTTGTTTGTTGAGTACAATATATTTCAGTGATGTTATCTTAGGCACAGGAGCCACATTTGCCAAAGTCTTGGGTTCAGACCCATGTCACAGGGGGTTGTTTATAATTGACCTAGGGCTCTCTCTGTAATTTCTGGAGCCCAGTGAGGGGAGAACAAGAACAGACCCACTGCCTTCAAGGTCCTGTATAGTGCTGCCTTCAAGGTCCTGTATAGTGCTGCCTTCAAGGTCCTGTATAGTGCTGCCTTCAAGGTCCTGTATAGTGCTGCCTTCAAGGTCCTGTATAGTGGTGCCTTCAAGGTCCTGTATAGTGCTGCCTTCAAGGTCCTGTATAGTGCTGCCTTCAAGGTCCTGTATAGTGCTGCCTTCAAGGTCCTGTATAGTGCTGCCTTCAAGGTCCTGTATAGTGCTGCCTTCGAGGTCCTGTATAGTGCTGCCTTCGAGGTCCTGTATAGTGCTGCCTTCAAGGTCCTGTATAGTGCAACATCATATTTTACAGATGTTTTTCTTTTTATAAATAAATCTGTTCTTCATAATAAAAAGGGTATGTTTGTATCTACCAAAACTAGGCAAGTATGTGGTTTGCTTGAAAGTCATTGTTGGGCCCCGACGATTTGACAAACTGCAGGACCAGTATCAACCCATTATAGCACCAGACAGCCAGGTAGGAACATAGACCATTCGGTGTGGTATTTTAGGGGAAGGCTGGCCATTTCACCATTTACAAATGATTTGGTCAGAATTGTTTGCTTTTCTTTTATGCTTCAGGAGATTCTGTGGTACCCATTTTACAGGACTGGGTTGATTTCCAAACCATATTTTAATGGAAGAACATAACCTCAAAGGGATTTAACCAGTTTCAACTGAAACCCTGCTGTTGCCTCATAGAGGCCACAAGCAGAATGCAGGCAGTTCTGCAACAACAACTTCAGTACAAATGTGCAGTTATAAAAAAAAATGGGCAGAAACCTAATCTTTTCCTTCCCCAGATTACAGAAGAGAGCTCACTGTCTTCTGTAACCTTGGCTGTTGATGACATCAGCAAACCTGAGATGCTTAGAACACCAATTAAAGTGAAAGATACATCTATTGAACTGAAAGATACACTATTGAACTGAAAGATACACCAATTGAACTGAATGATACACCAGTTGAACTGAAAGATACACCAATTGAACTGAAAGATATACCAATTGAACTGAAAAATACACCAGTTGAACTGAAAGATACACCAATTTAGCTAAAAGATACACTAGTTGAACTGAAATATACACCAGTTGTTCTGAAAGATACACCAGCTGAACTGAAAGATACACCTACTGAACTGAAAGATACACTAATTGAACTGAAAGATACACCAGTTGAACTGAAAGATACACCAGTTGAACTGAAAGATACACCAGTTGAACTGTAAGATACACTAATTGAACTGTAAGATACACCAGTTGAACTGTAAGATACACCAGTTGAACTGTAAGATACACCAGTTGAACTGCAAGATACACAAATTTAACTGAAAGATACACAAATTTAACTGAAAGATACACCAATTGAACTGTAAGATACACCAGTTGAACTGTAAGATACACTAATTTAACTGAAAGATACACCAATTGAACTGATACTTTTGCAACTCTTTAGTGTAGCCTCTGGTTTTGATGAGATTTGACATTGTTAAAACCAGATACAACTTCATATTTCTCATTCACTTATTTCTTCTTCTTGGAAAGATCCATTCGGTTGTTGTTGATTTGTTTATACAATTTGAATTCCTGTAATTTATTCTACTTTTTTAAAAACATGGTATAATTTTACTTCTGAATTTTCTGTACACATTAAAACATCAATGTGGCATCCATGGCTTAGGAGTTGCGAGTCTGACTCGTAATTCAAATGTGCTGCGATCGAAACCCACTGCTGGCTGCGTGGATTTTTTATCATGGTTTGGGACGCAGCAGGTCAACCCAGCCTAAAATGGGTACCAGGATATATGTCCTGGGGAAGTAAAGATGGCCGGCGTAATGCTGACCACATTACCCACCTCTTGTCAATTGGTTTTTAAAATTATGGGTCCTCGTCCTCTTCCCATGGGCTCGATGCGCCTAAAGGCGCGAAAAGGGATACTTACTTTACTTTTATTAAAACATGAATACCGTTGTTAATTTCAGTGGGACAAGCCTGTATTGCATTTGCCCAGTGACGCTGTCAGTCCAGGATGCTGCTACAGTCCCCAGCCAATGCCAGTTTTCCCCGATGAGTCTGCCAAGTACATTGATCTCTATGTCTCCTATGTTATCAGCCCAGACATATTTTGGATTCAGCTTCGGGGACTAGAAACTACCGTAGCCCTTGAGGATTTGATGGATGAGATTGAGAAAGTTTAGTGAGTCTTGCCAGTTTGGATTTTGTTTCTTTGTTTATGTTTATTAATATTTTTGGGTCACTACATTGTTTGCTAAAGTAAATATGGCATGAATTCTTAAACAGACGTGTGGAATTTATTTTCTTAGCATTTATTTTGACCTTGGCTGCCAGGTCGACCTGCCCTAAATGGGTACCAGGTAAAGTTCTGGGAAATAAAGACAGCCAGCATAGTGCTAACTACATACCCCCCCCCCCCCCAAATGTCTAGCCTTATGTGCCCAATTCGCCTGCAGACATGGAAAAGGGTCCTCTACTGTACTTAGTTTTATTTGTTCTGGTTATCTTTCAACAGTTGAGTGATGATAGTGGTTTTTCTTGATTTCATGTGCATTTCCTTCTCTTGTGAACAACACAAAAACATATTTTTCTTGGTCCTTTTAATTCTGCTTGTGTGTGTGTTTGTGTGCCTTTATCAACAAATAACCTGCTATAAACAGCAAGATTGAAGCCTAGTGGTAGCTTTTTGCATAGAACATAACTGTTTCATCAACATTCCAGTTACATTGAACTGTCATATATACTCCGTCTCTGCTACATTAGATTAATTTTCCATGGCAAAATTCAAGATAGGTGTATCAGCCATGTGCACCTGTGGAAATGTGCCCCAGACAGCAAAGCATGTACTCCAGGACTGCACCGAATTTGACACATTAAGGCAAACCTTTTGGCCAGACAGAACAACAGTGGAACGTAAACTCTATGGACCACTGAATGAACTAACAATGACAGTGAAATTTTTACAAGAGACAAAACTGCTGATATAGACAACTTATTTCAGGCGAACGAAAGAAGAAGAAGATTACTTTTGTCAGAGTGACAAACCTGTTGATGGCTTCTAGGTTCCTGCTAGACTTCACTAGATAACATTCTGGTCATGATGTCAAGAAGTCTCTTCTGAGAGCCTAGTCTTACCTTTTCTTCTCAACTTTAATTGTTCTTAATTAAATTATCTTTGCCTGTCTCATGCGTGTTAAGTATGTATGTAAAACGCGTGTATGTAAGAACATATGCATGTAAGAATGTGTGTAAGCATGTACGTATATGTTTGTCATACCTTGTCTCTGTGTGTATGGGTACTTAGTAGTCAGCATCTGTGGCTTAGGTGTTGCCAATTCGCTTCATAATTCTGAGATGCCTGGTTTGATTTCAACTGCGAGTGATTTGGCTGCAGACTTCTTGGCATTGATTTCAGCAGTGATATTGAGAGACTGTTGCTCGGCCAGCAATGGTAAATTACTGAACGTAAAATTGTTTTGTCTCTCTCTCTCTCTCTCTCTTGTTGTACCCCACTAGGACATCACACAAGCGATAAACACCCGATGTGGACTGAGGGAGTCACTGACGGCCCAAAACTTCACATGGTCCAGGTTTTAGAGCCATATACAACAGTTGGTCTTATCAGTCTTTTAATTATTTTGTCATCTCTGGTGTTACGAGATGATGCATTCGATGTTAGCAGATCTGGCGAAGTGACACCATTCAGGGCCCCCGGCCAAAGCCAGGGTGGGGCTTCAAATAACGAAAAATTGCAATCCACATGGGGACGGCTTTTGAACTGTTTTGTAAAACCAAACAACCAAAAAAATGCTGGGGTTGGCTCTGCACTGCCTTGTAAAGGATGCACAGCGAACTTTTTGTTTGTAACTTTATATTCATATTATTTTATTGCTAACTAGAAACGGCGTGTGTGGTAGATAAAATACAGTTACTGGGTAAAATGTGATTGTATGGAAGGGCTGACTGATAGACGAGTTTGTGTGACCAATATATGACGCTCTGCAATTAAAGTTTGTTTGTTTGTTCTCTCCCTTGGGTTTTTTAAAACCATGCTTTCACTTGTGCTTCAGGTCAAAATGGACGCTAGGCACAGCCACTTTTTGTAGCCATGGCAATTTTTTTTTTTTTTTGTCAGGTGGCGGCCATTGCATTTTTGCTCCATTTGTAGACTGGAAGGATATAGTTTCATTGCCCAGCTTCTGAGTTGAGTGCATGGCGTAATACTGTGAGCTGTGGATTTCATTTGAACTGTGATACAAATTTTATGTGTTTTTGTTGGCACAGGAGCGGAGCAACTATAGGGCAACCCGTTTGCTATGAAGCTGAAACTAAGATTACCAGATTTCTTGTGCCGTATTATTAATTTGTTTCTGGGAACAGAATTACTGTAATTGTTTATATGATTCTTGGTTGTATATCCGTTTGCTGTGACCTTTCAGCCGAGGTAAACATCTGCCACCAGGCTATGAGATGACGACAAGTTTAGCCAAACCTGGTATGATTTGTGCTGCCATCTTTCCTGAAGACGGCCACTGGTACCGAGCCATCATCACAGAGGTCAAAGATCAGCTTTATGAGGTCAGTTTGTTACTACATATTTTTTTTGTGTGTGGATCTGGACATTTTCTAACACCAGGACAGATTTGATTGTCTAGACAAACATTTCCTTGGTATTCAGAATGTTATTTGTAGATGGGCATGGCTATGTTGAGTTTAAAAAAAGGAAAGAAAGGAAGAAAGTGAGCTGTTTTTATACCAGAATAAAGTTACATTTGTTTTGAGTCAGAGTATGTGGTTTTCCTTGGTAATGAAAGATTAAGGATGAAACAGTGTGAGACAATGCAGTCAAGTAATTTGTGTTTGATGTCGCGCTGTATCTGTTTTCTCAGGTGTGTTACGTTGATTATGGAAACGTCTGCTCCGTCAGCATTTCATCATTGAGGCTTCTCAAGTAAGACATTCTCATTGTTGAACTGCTTTTTGTGATTTTAGGGTTTTTCTATTGTTTATGTTGTATTTTATACCTGAAACTGAGTTCATATGATTTATTAAATTAGTTTTATTGTGTTCATAATCTAAACATTATTATTTTTTAAAAAAAAGGATTGAAATGGTTTGGTCATGTATTGAGAATAAACCCAATGAGGCCCACAGCAAGAGTTTACAGTATGAAAATTGAAATGCTGAGAGGCACAGGGAGACCTTGAAATATGTGGACTGGGGGAGTCACTGACAGCTTAAGACTTTACATGGTCTAGGTTTTAGAGTCATATACAACAGTTGGTCTTATCAGTCTTTTAAATATTTTGTGATCTCTGGTGTTCTGAGATGATGCATTCGATGTTAGCAGATTTGATATCTAATTGCCAGTATTCTATATCTATATGTTTTTTTTTTTTTTTAGTATGTTAGTGAGCTTGACTTTTTTTTTAACTTGTCGTTAGCCATTCTTTTGGCCATTGAGTTAACCATATGTGTAAATTCTTTCCCACCCTAAAAAAAAGGGTTGACACATTCTATTTCTGGGGTCAGCTTCTATCGGGTTTGCTCTCTGGACAAGACAGTTGCAGCCCCCTGCTGATGAGATTCTGTCATCCCAGATAGGGGGCAGCTGCCATCAAAATAACATTACAAAGAACAATCCGAAAGAAGTTACAGCCATAGAAACTGTAGCCTCCATCACCATTCTCTCCAGGCCACCATCACTTTAAACATGACCAAACACCCTCAGCTTTCGGGATGCTGTTTATGAGCCAATTCTCCTTGATGCTCAGATCATGTCTGATGTCTGTTTTTCTTCTCCTTGATCCATGGGGAAGTTTGCCATCCTTTATTTGCTTTTGTTATTTTTAAAAAAAATCCATACAGCCCAGACTGAAGATGTGTATTGATTAACTATAGCTAAGTCTGTGTGTTTCTGTTGCAGAACCAAGTTTCTCAAGTTTCCAGCCCAGGCTATTCGTGCTAGGCTCAGCAACATCAAGCCAGTAGATGGAGTGAGTTATTTTGTGCACCTCAAATTTGTTTTTCAGAACGTCATATCAGTTTTTAAAAAAAAAAATATATCAGTTATCCTTAAAGACTTATGAAGTATTTGCTTTGATATATCATACTCATTAAATGCTCTTCAAGAGGCTGTGTGGTCTCGAGGCATGGTGTCCGCCTCGAGTCCTAGAGACTCTGGGTTCAATCCCTGGTAAGGGCTGGGATTTTTTCACGTGGACTTAGACTTCTAGTAATTCCCCCTGGTCTCTGGGTAGTGAGATCGTATGCATTGATGCACACGTAAAAAATCCCTTGGCAATTGGAAATCGAAAAGAGTAGCCTAACCGTGCTGCCCGGGCAAAATTTTAAGTTAAAAATCTACTTAAAGTATTTCAGGATTCTTGTTGTGCTACAGAGCCGGTGCACTGTGCTGAGCTTCTTCGGACTCGGGCTTGAGTTAGAAGAAGAACGGAGCACTTATTGGTTACTACATGTGTGTCATGATGTTGATCCGTTGTTCAAACCTGAAATGCTCTACCAACTCTCTGGACGACCATGCTTTCCCACATGTCACAGTCATTTCAAAATGTATCAGTTCTTGTACTGCTTGCTAAATTTTAGGATAATCTATCGAAAAACTAGCTGACTTCACAATAAATCTCTCCATTTTCTTTCTCCTGCTCTAGTTTTCACACATACTAGCATTTCTTTTTTTTTTTCTTTTATCTTCACGCTGTATCACTGTCTCTCTTTTGTCTTTAATGTGACAACCATGATGACATCTCACTGCTTAGTTTATTGTAGCTGTACATTTGGTAAAAGTGTGCTTGTTGTATGTTTGCTAAGGTCTGGCGGGTAAACTCAAAGTTGCGGCTGCTGGATCTCTGCAGAGAAAAGCCTCTAGTGGGATTTGTGACCAGCATTAAGGTGAGAAGCCGTCTGCATGTCAGGTCAATGGTTAAGCCACTTTCAGACTTGGTGATTCATTTCACAGATATGAGTATTTCAAAGAGTACAGATATGAGTGTTTCAAAGAGTACAGATATGAGTGTTTTAAAGAGTACAGATATGAGTGTTTCAAAGAGTACAGATGTGAGTGTTTCAAAGAGTACAAATGTGAGTGTTTCAAAGAGTACATATGTAAAAGTTTTTCAAAGAGTACAGATGTGAGTGTTTCAAAGAATACAGATATGAGTGTTTCAAAGAGTACAGATATGAGTGTTTCAAAGAGTACTATAGTTTCTTTGATTAAAAACTAGGGGACGAGTAACTTTTATGGAAAGAGGCTTCACAAATTGTATTATTTCACTGTATCTTGTCAGGTGCTAACTGCAGAACTTACAGTAACACATAGTTAAGCACAAGAATGAATCCTTTCCACCGAAATACACAACTCACATGGTCTCTCGTCATACTGTATATCTCATATTGAAAGTCTAAAATTGCTTGCCGGTAATCTTAACCCTTTGGAGATTGAGCCTTTTTGGAGTTTCAGTGCCAAGAAGACGAAAGCCTTCAGGAGGTGATTCTCTTAGTTTACAAAGCCTTCAGGTGAAGATTCTCTTAGTTTACAAAGCCTTCAGGAGGTGATTCTCTTAGTATACAAAGCCTTCAGGTGGGGATTCTCTTAGTTTACAAAGCCTTCAGGAGGTGATTCTCTTAGTTTACAAAGCCTTCAGGAGGTGATTCTGTTAGTTTACAAAGCCTTCAGGAGGTGATTCTCTTAGTTTACAAAGCCTTTAGTTAGAGATTCTCTGAGTTTACAAAGCCTTCAGGAGGTGATTCTCTTGGTTTACAAAGCCTTCAGGAGGTGATTCTGTTAGTTTACAAAGCCTTCAGGGGGAGATTCTCTTAGTTTACAAAGCCTTTAGTTAGAGATTCTCTGAGTTTACAAAGCCTTCAGGAGGTGATTCTCTTGGTTTACAAAGCCTTCAGGAGGTGATTCTGTTAGTTTACAAAGACTTCAGGGGGAGATTCTCTTAGTTTACAAAGCCTTCAGGTGGAGATTCTCTTAGTTTACAAAGCCTTCAGGAGATGATTCTCTTAGTTTACAAAGCCTTCAGGAGGTGATTCTCTTGGTTTACAAAGCCTTCAGGAGGTGATTCTGTTAGTTTACAAAACCTTCAGGAGGGGATTCTCTTAGTTTACAAAGCCTTCAGGAGGTGATTCTCTTAGTTTACAAAGCCTTCAGGAGGGGATTCTCTTGGTTTACAAAGCCTTCAGGAGGTGATTCTGTTAGTTTACAAAGCCTTCAGGGGGAGATTCTCTTAGTTTACAAAGCCTTCAGGAGATGATTCTCTTAGTTTACAAAGCCTTCAGGTGGGGATTCTCTTAGTTTACAAAGCCTTCAGGAGGTGATTCTGTTAGTTTACAAAGCCTTCAGGAGGTGATTCTCTTAGTTTACAAAGCCTTTAGTTAGAGATTCTCTGAGTTTACAAAGCCTTCAGGAGGTGATTCTCTTAGTTTACAAAGCCTTCAGGTGGGGATTCTCTTAGTTTACAAAGCCTTCAGGTGGGGATTCTCTTAGTTTACAAAGCCTTCAGGAGGTGATTCTGTTAGTTTACAAAGCCTTCAGGAGGTGATTCTGTTAGTTTACAAAGCCTTCAGTTGGAGATTCTCTTAGTTTACAAAGCCTTCAGGAGGTGATTCTCTTGGTTTACAAAGCCTTCAGGAGGTGATTCTGTTAGTTTACAAAACCTTCAGGAGGGGATTCTCTTAGTTTACAAAGCCTTCAGGAGGTGATTCTCTTAGTTTACAAAGCCTTCAGGAGGGGATTCTCTTGGTTTACAAAGCCTTCAGGAGGTGATTCTGTTAGTTTACAAAGCCTTCAGGAGGTGATTCTGTTAGTTTACAAAGCCTTCAGGGGGAGATTCTCTTAGTTTACAAAGCCTTCAGGAGATGATTCTCTTAGTTTACAAAGCCTTCAGGAGGTGATTCTGTTAGTTTACAAAACCTTCAGGAGGGGATTCTCTTAGTTTACAAAGCCTTCAGGAGGTGATTCTCTTAGTTTACAAAGCCTTCAGGAGGGGATTCTCTTAGTTTACACACACAAAATTATAAAAAATACAGTATTTAAATAACACATATAAAACTGCACATTCTTTGTGTTTTGGGAAGTAAGGCTTATGTTAATTGAAAGTACAGGAGACAGAAGGTTGTGGATAGATATGACTACTAACGCCACACGACATGAACTTTTAGAAGAAGTTAAAAATGATTCATTCTTGTGTATCTTTATATGCGATGAATTCCATAGTAATGCCCCCAAAAAGGCACAGTGAAATATGCCAGGCAATGTATTGTCTGAGCCTTCATTGTTTACAGTATTGTCCTGTGACATTAAAGCTGTTGTTCTGTCATACCAGAATACGTCAGTATCAGTCAGTAGATTTTATACCGTCAGATTGCAAGCTGTTCTAATGTTGTACTGCAAGATTTAAAATGAAACACTGTACAAAATATTGTGATACGTTTTACTGTCATGCTATACGGTGTTTGTACAATTTACTGCCATATTTATTGATGTTTTACGTTTCCGTATGATCTCATCAAGGACGGAGTTATTTCTCTCTGTTTGACGGACACAAACAATGAGTATGACATCCACATCAATGATGTTTTTGTTAGTGAGGGCTATGCTGTCCTTTCTCCAGACCATGATCTGACGGATGTTATCAGCCACGATAAGGTAAAATATTTCTTTATTGGATTATCATCACGATAATTTCTGTCATTTCCTTTTAGGGTGCACTTGTCCGCATGTCAGGTCTGGAGCCTAGTTGTTTGTGTGTTGGGGTTAGGGTTAGAACTGTTATCAACATGATACATGATGATGATGACTTCATGTTTGCAGGGTGTTGGGGTTAGGGTTAGGACTGTTATCAACATGCAGGCGAATTGAGAAGCAGACATTTAATCAGGTTGCAGCTGATGCCATCAGTGTGGAAACTCTTCGTTGGGTGTCGAGGAAGAGCACTGAGCATGTATTGGAATATTTCAAGTGCATCCTGTCAGTTTGATTCATTCGTTCTTTGATTCCTGTCTGCTGGGTTCATCGCTGGATGCCCCACAGTAGTCAACTACCCAAAGTGTCTTTTCATTCCCCGAGACAGTATCTGTCCCAGAACTAAGAAACGCCTGTCCTAACTAGATTTCTGGAGACAGTATCTGTCCTAGAACTAAGAAACGCCTGTGCTAACTAGATTTCTGGAGGCAGTATCTGTCCTAGAACTAAGAAACGCCTGTCCTAATTAGATGTCTGGAGACAGTATCTGTCCTAGAACTAAGAAACACCTGTCCTAACTAGATGTCTGGAGACAGTATCTGTCCTAGAACTAAGAAACACCTGTCCTAACTAGATGTCTGGAGACAGTATCTGTCCTAGAACTAAGAAACACCTGTCCTAACTAGATTTCTGCAGTAACTAGACCTGTATTCCTCAACCTTTTTACACCTGCAGTCCACAAAAACAGCGGAACTTGTTTAGCAGCCCACCCAAAACAGCGGAACTTGTTTAGCAGCCCACCCAAAACAGTGGAACTTGTTTTGCGGCCCACCAAAAAGAGTGCAAATTGTTAAGCATTCTACCAAAAACAGTGGAACTTGTTTTGCAGCCCACCCACAACAGTGGAACTTGTTTTGCGGCCCACCCAAAACAGTTGAACATATTTCACAGCCCACCGAAAACAGCGGAACGTATTTCACTGCCCACCCAAAACAGTGGAACTTGTTTAGCAGCCCACCATAAACAGTGGAACTTGTTTAGCAGCCCACCCAAAACAGTGGAACTTGTTTAGCAGCCCACCAAAGACAGTGGAACTTGCTTAGCAGCCCACCCACAACAGTGGAACTTGCTTAGCAGCCCACCCACAACAGTGGAACTTGTTTCGCGGCCCACCCAAAACAGTGGAACTTGTTTCGCAGCCCACCCAAAACAGTGGAACTTGTTTAGCAGCCCACCAAAAACAGTGGAACTTGTTTAGCAGCCCACCCAAAACAGTGGAACTTGTTTAGCAGCCTATCAAAAAAAACAGTGGAACTTGTTTAGCAGCCCACCAAAAACAGTGGAACTTGTTTAGCAGCCCATCAAAAAAACAGTGGAACTTGTTTAGCAGCCCAACAAAAAACAGTGGAACTTGTTTAGCAGCCCATCAAAAAAACAGTGGAACTTGTTTAGCAGCCCACCAAAAACAGTGGAACTTGTTTAGCAGCCCACCCACAACAGTAGAACTTGTTTAGCAGCCCACCTGACAGCTAAACAAACACGAAACCAAACCAAATGTAGACAGAAGTTTATTTTTTAAATCTGATGTCACAATCAACATACAATGTGTGAAAGCAAATCAGGTTATGGGACAAGTAACACCTCTTCTGGCTCATAGAAAGATACATCTGTTAACCAAAGCAAATCTCATAAGAATGGTTTTTTGGCCCACATTGTGCTACCAGTGCAAAACATGGACCCTTACTACAACTACAACACAGATGGGATGTCTTAGAAGAGCTGCCAGTCTGACATGAAGAGATCAAATCAGGAATGAAGAAATTAGAAGAAGGCTAGGACTGAAACCAGTCATACAATTCATTAAACGAACACCAAATGAGAGGATTTTGCTACCTCACGAGAATGCCCTGGTACCAACTGTGACATGGTAAAACAAAATAGTGACTTAACCCAACATTAATACAATCTAGTATCCAAGAAAAGTGCATGGATACACACACCAGATTCTCTCCCCAAGACTCGCTTCATCGCCTCTCTAGAGAGGGACAGTGTATCATATTCAGACTAAGGACTGGGCACAACAGACTTCGCCAACATATGTTCAAATTTGTCGGTGTAGGAAATACGGAGACGTTTCCCTGCAGCGTGGCACCCGAAAATGCTGAGCATGTGCTCCAACACTGTCAACTGTATGCTGACAACAGAGACGCAATCTGGCCTGTTCCGGCCACAATAAAGACAAAGCTGTAATTTACACAAGAGGATATGGACTGCACAATAGCTTTCATAAAGGCTACCGGCCTCCTGATATAAGTTCTCTGACAGAAGGATCAAAGAAGAAGAAGAACACAGAGCAAGGGGAAGACCATGCAAGAGATGAAGCAACATCATCAGGAGCAACCTAACAAAAATGAACACAAACTTGTACAATGCATTGAAAAAAAGCACACAAACGATCCTTACATCTCCACCCAACACCTCGCTGAGGTAAATGGTGGAAAAGAAGAAGGTGTCACAAAATTACTGCTTGCAGGTAAAAAGAAATCTACAAAAACATCCATTTGATTTCTCCCTTTGGTTTTTGTTATTGGCATGCCAGATAGTCTTTTCACACAAATAGCAAGTCTTTGAGATGTTAACCTTACAGACTGGAAGAGAACATGCACCTACCCTATCTCACTACATGATTAAGCAAAAACTGTTGGCAGCTCAAAGGGACTTGAACCACCCACAGATTGAAGAACACTGACTTAGACCGCTGCTTACACATAAGGATCATATCTTTGTGGGTGTGGTCTTGATGTAACTCGGTGTGCATATAATATGAGCTTGCTTTTTCAATGTGGTGTAAAAAAAAGAAGATACAAACATTTAAACAGAAATAAACATGAGAATATTCAAGTGCTATATATAATCAACACTACTGTAAGGTGCAGAAGCATCAGCAGTATCTTCTTACTAGTTGCTTGAAAACAAAAAAAAGAGGCGCTGAAGCCCCGAAGAGTTAATGGAAGACGTACACAAAAATAGATAACTCAGTGGAAGAAAGGCACTTGGTCAACACTGTTGTTACAGTTCTAGAGATAGTCAAAAAATTGCAAGTTCCCGGCTGAGTTGACCAGCATGAGTGTCCTGTCTGGAGTCACACATATAAATCTGATATGTTCACAGGGGAAGTAACAGCGTTGGAGGTTCCCCTGATAGTTCAGTATGTCAATACGACTGTCCTTCTTGTCAAACACAATCACATTGCCCAGAGGGTCGGTGCAGACGGCATCGGGACCTTGGTAGAGCTCTTCCTCTGCATCTGTGTTGCCATATTCGAACATGAAGTCCCCATTTGCCTGAATACCCACCACACTGTGTCTCCCAGGATCTGCTACAAAGAAATTGCCATGGAGATCAGTGGCGATGGTATGTGGCCTGTCAAACAAGTATGGGTGAAGGCTTTCAAAGGTTTCGTTTGTGATAACACGTAGGATGGAGCCATGTTGGTCATACATTGTAATGTTTCCCCCGTATTTAGCAGATCTTCCATATGTAGGGTTGCTCCTGGCATATCGGCTGGCAGCCACTAAGAGGGTGCCAGATTTTGTAGCAGTTACAAAGTTGAGTCCAAAACTTTCAATTTGAGCATCCACTAACGTGTCAACGTTGTTTTCCCCCGACATAACCCTCACCTTGTATCTGTTTTCACTTCTTGGCATGACAAGGTTAACTTTACCATCTGCTGCAATGGAATGAATCATCCAGTTCTTTTCTACAGGAATTTGTCCCCGGATTATGCCATGTTTCTCTATGAGAAACACTTTGCTGCCATCAGGTGGAGAAACAGTCCCCACTATTATATCTCCCTTAGAGTTCACACCGATACCCTTCATGCAGTCATGTGAAACTGCGTCAGGAAAGTTCATTTCTCTTTTGACCACATCAAGGTTTAAACATGGCACATTCTCCTCCCCTGCAGAATTGTAAAAATAATCAGCTTGCGAAGCTTCAGATGGCAGTAGATTTGTTTGGTCGACATCTGTCTCATTTTTATCAACATTTCCTTCACTATCTGGTAGTGTCCCCGCAGCTGGTCTAAGAACATCACTTCCATTGCTTGCACTTAGCATGTCTGTATCTTCACCTTCATCATTAACATCTTGGAGTTCATCTGCTGAAGACGCACACCTTGTTGGGTCCTTGCTACCCATATCTGTGGATTCACTTCCCTGGGAAGTTGCTGCTTGCTTCTCAATGTTCATCTTCTTGGTGGTTTTCTTCAGCACGCCAAACATTTCACAGACTGCTTCCACAGAAACTGCTGGCTCACAAAGAACACTGTTTGTCAGTTGGACATCCTTGACAGGTAGGTCAGTCTCACAGAGTTCTCGGACTCTTCGTCCAATATGTCTCCTCATGGTCACCTTCTCCTCCTCCAGACCAAAGATGAAGAGTTTTTCCGTCAACTGGGTCACAGCTTTGATAGATTCTATGTGTCTTTTAATTGCTTCTTCTCTTTCACCAATCATTGACAGGTTCTGAGCATGCCTTTTCTCAATCTCTGAAACGAGCATGTTCCCGTATTCCTGAATCAAGCCACACAAGACTTGAGTCCTCTGTGTGACTGCTCTCTTCACCTCTTGGGATTTCTTCACTGTATATTTTCTAGCATTTTCCAGATAAGCAAGATCTATTTGCAGATTTTGCTGGTCTTTCACGAGTTCTTTCAATGGGTCTTTGATTTTCTTCTCAAAATTCTGAGAAAGGGCACTGAGCTCAGCACATCTGTGATCGGCATGGAGCTTTATGTGGCAGTCGGCGCATAATGATATCTCACAGTCAACGCAGTAAATAGAGCCAATATCCAGGGCATCATAGAAGTCACAACATCGAGGCAGTGCTGGAGTTTGTGCACTGGCAGAAACTGCCACGTCAGCTTCTTTGTAGTTCTCGATCTTCTGAGTCTTATGGCTAGTTGTCTCCTCTTGATCCACATGGTTCAAAGCACACTTGTCACACAGGAATTCGTCACAGTTGATGCAGTGTATTTGTGCCGACACACTCCTCCCAGATGTCTTGCACTGGCCACATATTTTATCCCTTTTTCCTGGAACGGCTACAGGGCAGATGAGCCTCCTGGCGAAGCTGTTGGCTGGGAGTTCTGGGGTTTCGTCTTCTGAGATCACAGTCTCTGTGTCACAGACTGGACACATAAGACATCGGCGGTCATCGCTGGTAGCATTAATGTGGCTTTCTATACATGTCTTGCAGAAGGAATGCAGACAGATAAGGTACTTGGGGTCTTGTAATTCTTCCCGACACAGTGGGCAGCACAGGAACTCACGAGGCAGAACCTCACTCGTTCTTTCCTCCATCGCTGACGTTTCTGAAATCTAAAACATATGAGAATTAAGGTATTTCGTTTTTGGCCTAAACATATTTTGTACAGTGGAAGAATAGAAACAAGATAATTAATGATGAAACTGTGTATCTGTATTAATAATTATGTAAAATGTTTTATTGATAGCAGAGCATTGTTCTCACCGGTGTCTGCGTTACAAAAACTCGGTCTGTATCCAGCTCTGCCGTTTTGTGCAGTTTAATACCTAAGGAATCACTTATATCCTGTGCCTATCTTCGTGCTGGTTGGACCCTGTCCCAAATTTTTGGCACCATACCTTCTGCTATTATTTTTTCCCCAATCTGCCCTGGCGCTTGATAAGGCCAAATTTTTTATTATAGCTTCTGAGACTAGATGCTGTTTATATGCCAGTCTTTTTTTATGTTCAGATCTTTTAGTATATAATTTTTTTTTCTTTATACATGGTATTCTGGCGTTGCGAGTCCGACTCGTGAGCCAGCATACCGCGATCGAAACCCACTGCAGGCTGCGTGGATTTTTGTCATGGTATGGGACGTCACAGGTGGACCCAGCCTAAAATGGGTACCAGGATGGGCTGTCCTGGGAAAGTAAAGACAGCCGGCGTAATGCTGACCACATTACCCACAGAGTGCTGATGGTCTGTAAAAATATGGGACGCCCATATGTCCAATGCGCCGAAAGTCGTGAAAAGGGATCTTTACTTTACTTTACTTACACCTCAAAAGCCCCTAATAACTTCCTTAAGTGCTTTGATATAGTCCACGACTCGGCATCTGTATGTTGCACAGGGAAGATATATGCTCTCAGAATTGTGACTTTGAATTCCTTGCTGTTATCGTTGAAACCTTCTTAAATCAGTAAATTAACCGAATCCCATGAAAGTCTCGGCTTCATTTGTTACCGTCCAGGAATTCTAGGCTGCAGGCCTATCCCATTTATGGACAAATACTGGCGCTGTCTTTATGCCTAAACCAACGTTGGACCGTTGGCAGAGTTGATTATCGATCTGTCTTGTCAGAAAGTTAACCGTGAAACTTGGTGGTTTGTTTTTCTTTCTGGGACTGGAGGATAAGAAAAGCGGGTTGCTTAAATAATCGGAATGAAACAGGTTGTGCAGGTTTATCATCGTGTGTCTATGAATGTGTGTTTATGGTTTCTTTTAAAATGGCTTCTTCTTTTTCTTCTTCTTCATTTTCTTCTTCTTTTCTTCTTCTTCCTCTTCTTCTTCTTTTTCTTCTTCTCATCCTTCTCCTCGCAGAATTCAGTATTTAAAGCAGCAGTTATTTTGAGCTTGTTGTCTTTCATAGAGCTTGTCCTCAGAAGATGGAAGTGTCCGCAAACATTAATTGTCGTCTATACTGTGTTTTTGTTGGACAGTCTTGCAGCAAATATGTAGTTCTGTACCGTAATTCGCCGACGTCATCACGAGGCCAGCTATGTAGTAGTTAGGTTAGGCATGTGGCCCGCCCCCACTGATGGTTGACTGTTGTCAAGCTTGTACTGCTTAGCTTGGTCGTGTCCAGCGGTGCATGACTGCAACCTCGGGTAGCCAGTTATCCTGTCACCAACAGGGTGACGACACGGAGAGGAATTCTGCAGATCGATATCTATTGATTGTATCTCTGACAGACAGGTCTGTCACCTCGACGTCGTGCAACGCTGGCTCTGAAAGGATGGCTGGAAAATGGGACTGCACTAACAAGACGCAGCGGGACGTTCCTTGTCAGTTTGGTCTCCAACATGGAATTCGTTTTAGAAAATTGCCCTTGTAGTTTTAGGGCCAGAACGCCGCCATGATGTAGCAGCTTGACGCTCGTCTGCGGATCCGAATGTCGAAGGCATTCGATTCCGAGCCGAGATCCCAAAATTGATGGTTATTACGTCGATCTAGATTAAAATGGGTTCCAAGAAAAGCATGGGAAGTAATGGCGGCGCGGCGTGATGTTGGCCACATCAGCCACCTAGTGCTGGTTGGTCTATATAAATCTAGATCTAGCACCATATGTCCAGTGCAGTAAAGGCATAGAAAAGGGATGATTGCTTAAAAAAAATGTTTCGAGTTTTATAAATCTATATACCGGCATGGTGTCACATCCACATGCTATATTATAAGTCTGGAGATCGAATCTCCGTTAGCAGACTCGTTGACAGTTTTTTAACTATAAGATATTTTGTGTGGAACTAAGAACAACAGTAGGAACACCGTCCGATGAATGAGTTCATGGAACATCCAAGAATAAAATTAGTGAAATATTCGGAATGGAAGAAAATCTACCAGCGGATAGAGCGTACTTCATGAGTACACCAGGCTACAATACCACGGGCCGAATCAAGACAGAGATAGGTGGAGGGAGTAACAGAAAGACTACAGAATCGCCAACACAAGCTACACAACTACTAAAACAAGGAAAACTAAATCTGACCCTTTCTCCGAGGCAAAACAGGAGGACAATAATAGAACAAGATGGAAAGATAATATTAGAGAAGCTCTACAACAGCACGATGTGTTTATGATCGAGACAGTCGCAGTAGCAGTGAGCGGAACCTTAAATCTCCCTCCAAACCGGAAGCGGTAAAAGAGGAAGAAGAAGACAGAGGGATATTAATGCACGAATTGATACATGCTGTTAAATGTTGCACGATGTGGAGATACATGATCGACTGCACCAGTTGGCGATCGAGTGTACCAGTTGACAAAGTACTAGGTTATGTTGTTGATTTTCATACATACAAGCACACACAAACACAGAAACCCATGTCCATCTCTGTGTATCTATCAATGATTGTACGTAAAAATTTCGATGTGGGTCTACTGCTCTCTCTCTCTCTCTCTCTCTCTCTCTCTCTCTCTCTCTCTCTCTCTCTCTCTCTCTCTCTCTCTCTCTCTCTCTCTATGTATATATATATGCACTTTGTTTGTCTGTCCGGATGTGACTGTCTGCCGATTACAGCTTACAGACCACACATATCTGCCACACAACAGCGACAACAACAAAACAGACCAGTCAACAATATTGACACAAGATAAGACAATCATATCACTTATAGTGCAGTGGTGTTAAACTGAAAGTTCTCCCGCTTCGCTGATTATCTATCGGGGTGCAAGAAAATATCGTATCGATCCAAACTCCCGGTATAAGACATGCACCCAGAGTAACATTACGCCGTTTCTGTTTCATTAGTTTGTGCATCAGATTGAACGGCAGAAAACTGACGTAATGTTAATAAGAAACGAAATTACGCCCCTCTCCCCTTTTGTTGTTGTTGTTGCGCAACAGCAAATATGATAACTCAAAGTCAAGTGCATAGTTGAAGTACCTGGTTTGCTCTAAAAGCAACAGGCGGAAGATTTTATATTATATAGCGAATTACAGAACCGTCTGCGTAAATGACAGCACCCCGCCCCCTTTCCCCCACCCCTCGTAGAGAATTCTCAGAAATCAAGTTAGCACTTCTGCCTCAACAGCGGCTGGATTTTCTTGTCGGCTTTTCTGTCTAGTCGGATGCAAACAGAAAAGGTCGTACAGCACTCTGTTGGTACTTGTACCCATTTCCTACCAAGTTCTGTGTCCCCCACCGAACACATCTGCTGAATAATGTCACTGGCCTGACCCATCTACGGTTTTTTAATCTGAGGTTTTTCCCCTTTATAATTTCACCATGCAGTGGGTGTCGTCTGTCTGCTTAGACTCTGAGGTAGGCACCTGCTCGGCCCATTTGTATTCTGTCTTCAATGGTCGGAAAATCGAGAAGGTAGCCCATAGCCCTGCATGCTGTATCTCTTGTACACCCAAGTATAATGCGAATAGCCTCGTTCTCTATCCTTTCCGTCTGCTTATGGCTGAGAGTCAGGATCGCCAGCGCACACTCAGAGACAGAAATGTTGCTGCTGACAGTTTGCCGAAATCTGTAGTCTTCTACCGGATTCACGAACACGTTCAAATAATATCGTCACTTTGAA